TTTCCCAGGCACATTAGCAGAGAGCTGCATTGGAAGTGGAGCAGTCAGGCCTTGAACTGGTGTCCATATAGGGTGCTGGTGTTACAGGTGCTGGCTTTATCTGCTATACCACAATGCCAGCCTCCCAATTGTTGTTTTTTATGGGGGATAGGTTGTAGTTATTATCCTTTTTGTGATCCACTGTGTTGATGCTACAAGTTCTTACTTGGATTTCTGAGATCTCTCAGGTCTATGTTTATAGGTGGATAGTTGTCTCTCTATATTTTTTTTTAGTCTGGGGAAAATAAGGCTAGTTCCTTCTACCAGCTTGTCGAAGTCACTCCTAATCTGCCTGTTTTAAAGTCAACTAATTAGTAACCCTAATATCACCTTCAAAATCTCTTTGCCATTTAAAGATAATTACTATCATGACAATAAAGCATCACAAAGCTCACGTAAATCATGTTAGAGTTCTGACTTCCATAAGAAGATAAATGGATTTCAGTAAGCACATGAAAATCTATGCTCAGAATCATTAGTCACAAAGCAACTTCAAATTAAAAGCATATTCCAGAACTTGTTCATATCCAGTAGAAGGACTAAAATAAAAAAATCAAAACGCTAAATATTGGCAAGATAATGGAACTAAAATTGTTAAATATTTGTAGAATAAATGTAAAATGCTTTTATAACTTTGGAGAATATTTTCATAATTTCTGCAAAGTTAGGTGTATAATTGCCACATGACCTAGCAAATCCACTGGTTGGCACTTAATCAATACAAAGGGAAAAGCTATATGTACAAAACTGTTCACTGTTTCACCACCCCGAAAGCTGAAAGAATCAAATGTTTACAGACAAGTGAGTCACAAACAGATTATTATATTATTCATGTAATGAAATTTTTCATCATCAAAGAATAAGCCATCAATACATACAACACCATGGACCAATCTCAAAGGGATGTTTAGCCAAAAAGCCACACATAAAAGAGTATGTACTGTATGATTCCATGGATGTAGCATTTGTGAACTAATCTTTAGTGATAGATATCCCGTCAGTGGTTGCCCTAGATGGTGATAGTTAGATTGACTAGTCAAAGAATTTCCTAGGGAGACATAAATATTCTATAACTTTTTGTAAATAATGGGTATGCCAGAATACCTTTAATTTTGTGCATACAATGTGTCATTTTATGTAAATTACAGTTAAAATATTGACTTTAATATATATATTTATACTTACAATAAACATATATGTTTCTGACAGGAGGAAGGATACTTCATCTTCATAGTTATTATTCTGGAATTTAGAGGTGATAATGGAGACAAAATAAAAATTATATTTTAAATTGGGAAAGAAGTGGATCACTATATACAGATAGTGACAGTAACGTGGTGACAGTACTGGGATTATTATTATTTTTTTTGACAGGCAGAGTTAGAAAGGTCTTCCTTCCATTGGTTCATTTCCCAAATGGCCACCACGGCCGGCGTGCTGCGCCGATCTGAAGCCAGGAGCCAGGTGTTTCTCCTGGTCTCCTATGCAGGTGCAGGGCCCAAGCACTTGGGTCATCCTCCACTGCCTTCCTAAGCCACGGCAGAGAGCTGGAGTAGAAGAGCAACAACCTGGACAGAATCCGGCACCCCAACCGGTACTAGAATCCCGGTGTGCCGGCGCTGCAGGTGGAGGATTAGCCAAGTGAGCTGTGGCGCCGGCCATTACTGGGATTATTGAGAAACGTTAGTAAACTATCTGGATGTAAGATAAATAAATCATGTACTAGAAAATATATGTAAGTAATACGTTTTTAACAATACAAAATGTGAAAACAGAAATTTGTGTGATAAACCTTTACAATAAATATATAGTTCTATAAAAGTTAGCAGTAACATGAAAACATGAAATTTCTTTGTAAATTGGTTTCTAGATTTCATGAAATTCCAATGAAATCTCCAAAAGAGAATAACTAACAAAATTTTGCAAAGAGTAAAAATAGGACTGGCACTACCAGGTTAAAATATAATTTAAAGCTATAGTAATCAAATAAGTGTAATAATTTTAATAGAATAAAAAAATTGAAAACCAGGTCAGTCAAGCTGACTAGGGAGGTCAGAAAAGATCTTTCTATGAAATCAGAATGTCGGTGGGATAAAGGTGGCATTGCAAGCCAGGTTAGAAGGAAAGGGTTATTCAGGGAAAGCTGTTGGTGTCATGAATAAAATATTAACTGAAATTCTCATCCATGACACATGCCAAAGTAAATTTCCAAACCAAACAACAGCAGCAAAGACCCTTAAAAAATGAAGGTTAATATTTATTAACCAAAACATTGGAATACGTGACAATAATAAAAAGCTGTTGATTTACCTACAAATAAGTTTCCTGTAGCGGAATGTTCATTGAGGGCAGAGACCTTGAGGGCTGCCACCACGACCCTCTGTGTCTAGCGCATGATGCACACTTTAATACATAAAGGATGAATGCAAACGTCTGTATTCTCTAAAGGCAGCATCCCTAGAATTTTAATGACTAATTGAGAAAAGATTTGTCACATACGATGCAGCATTAACATCCTTGTTAAAAGTTAACACAAATGATAAGAAACTTCATTAAGACCTGTTACGTGGTCAAGTATGAACAAACTCACCTAGGGGAAGTACAGAGAAGAATGTTGGGAAATGTTGAGTATTAATGACGGAATTCCATGTTATCTGTCAAATTACAGAATTAAATGTAATACATCATCTCATACAGTTAAGGGGAGTTAATACAAACTTTTTAGAAAAGTAACTTTTACATACTCTATCCACAGCCTTAAAAATATTTAGCCTGTTTGAACACGTGATTACTTTTCAAAGGATTTGTATTAAATTTCCTGCCATAAAGATAAAATTAAGCAGAGAAGTCCACCATAGGATCAAAATTTGGCAGCTACATGTCCAACAATAAGAAAATGGATTTTACATGATATAGTCACACCATGGAATACTATGCAGCCATTTAAAACATTTCTATTAAGGATCTAAAAACCACCTGAAAATAATTATTTTAAAAGGCACTATGAGGAGACGAATTATGTTGTGATACCAGCAATATTAAAATAGACGCGGGAGACACGGAGTGAAGCTACCAGGCTGAGGCGTGTGCGAAGGGGCAGTGATGCTCTGACTGCACTGATGGCCTCGCTGGGCACCACGTGCAGCCCATGACGCCTCAGGGGACGGATGAAGGGAGCTGGTGCACCTGGAAGTTGGGGGACTTGGCCAGTCATTCGCGAGGGCCAGTGTTTGATGTCAGTGAGGCTGCCTCCCTACTCTGCGACATTAACCGACCTTTGCTTAAAATACAACACCATGTTTTCAGTAGCTTCATGGCTGGGGGGGGAGGGGGGCTCGCTGGTCTCCCTTATAATTTTTTATGTGTTGCAAAGTTTGTACAATAAGCATTTTTAAAAATCATAAATGACCTTAATAATAGTCATTCTTTAAAAAATCTCTAATTTTATTTTGTGTGGTCACAATGAGAGTGCATGTTGTGGGACACTGCGCCCCCTGTTTCCAGCCCTCACTCTCACCCCCAGAAGCCCTGGGAACCTCTACTCCCCATTCTGCTTCCCTGGGGTCTCCCAGGCTTCCAGCTCCAAGGCCAGGTCCCCCTTCTTGTAGCCCCTCTGTCTGCCCTCAGGCGCCTGCGTCGTTCACAGCCCCAGGATGCAGTCTGGGAGACCCCTCCTTTCCCCCCCGCTTCCGGGGCCCCTAGTGGCCACGGGTTCAAACCCCAGGCACGGAAGGAGGCCTGGCATTGTAACGGGAACACAGAGCTCTTTCCAGAATGAGGCGCCCGCCGGGAAATCCCCTGGGTCTGCGCCCAAGACAGGGTCTCCGCAGCCGGGAAGCCGGGGTTCCCGTTCGGGGTCTGTCCATAGGGGTCGTGCGTGGAGGCTCGGAGGAGCCCCCGAACTGTGGACCCTCCCCTGTCAGATCACCCTTGCTGAAAACGGTACAAATTTCACGCCTTCTCAGTCCTGGCCCTTGGCTTTGATCAAAGAGAATGGCTAAGAACACCGGTCAGGGCTGGCATCCTGGGCTGGCCACGGAGCTCCTGCCGGGTCATCTATTTTTAAATGCGTTATGCGGAGAGTTGGGGGTGTCTTAGGCCGGCGGGAGGTGTAGGGGAGTGGCCAGCAAAGGGGGCACAGTTGGTGCTGCCCTGGGAACCGAGGGCCGCTTTCGGGGAGCGGCCGGCAGGACGCACCAAGTCTCCCCGGCGTGGCGTGAGCCTGCCTGGCTGCTGCGAGCCCTTGGCGTGCAGCCGCCGCCCCTCTTCGGAGCTCGGGTCCGCTCTGGGGGGCCGCAGCGAACCCCTTGAACCCGCTTCCTTATGTGGCCAATACAAGGGCGCTTGGAGAGCGCGGGGGAAAAAATGTCCGGGCGAGTACCTTGCGTGTTTGGACGTTTGCAGCCCCGACTCCCTCAGTCCTGCACTTCGAGTCTCAGTGCCTGCGCACGCTCGGGGCCGCACCATCCCCTGGGGGTCGGTTCCGGTTCGGGAAGCTGGGCCCTGCGGCGCTGGGGAGGGTCCCTGGTCGCGGGCGTTGCGCACGGGGCTTCTGCCCAGTTTCCTGCCTCGCGCAGTCCTCGTGTCCGCCCCAGCCCAGAGCGGTTTGTGCAATTTGGAAACTCGATAGGAGGCAGCAGCTGATCTCCCACTACCCTAAAAATAATCCGCTCCGGCGCCCTGCGCGTTCCGGCTAGCGGTGGAAAGCGCTGTTCTGCGAGTGAGTGAGTCCGTGTCTTTTCATTAAATACCGCTAAAAAGGTTTCAGGAGTGGCTGTGAGCCGTGGATTTCGCTCGAACATCGCGGCTAGCCCAGGCGCCGGCGGCGCAAAGCTCCTTCCCCCCTTGGCTATTTCTGGGGGGACCGGACAGGGCCTGGCCGGGGAGACGGGGCTTGGAGTCAGGTTTCCAGTTGGACTTCCAAAACTCCGCGGGCTCCGGCTGGAAGAGGACTGGAACCACCGGGAGGTGTTACTCCCTGGATTGCGGTTCCTGTATTCACGAAGTGGGTTTCTATCTCCTTGATCCCTGTTGCTGTTTGCTTTTGTAGGAGTTCTGCGTCCTTTGACAACTTAAGACGGGGTAGGAGGTCGATGTTTGGAAGGTTCCACAAGAGCGTCCGCAGGGGTCTGAAGCATTGTCAAGGTGTTGCCCCAGGTATTTATCCGAATTTTGCTTAATTTGTTCGGTTTGGGATTTCTAAACAGTTCCCCTTGCAGCGTCGGTCTATTTTAAGGAAACCTTTTGGTGTGCTAGAGCTTTACAGCCCCTGAAGAGAGAGAGGGTGGATTCAGTTCAGGCACTAAATCAGAAGTAAGTGAGCATTTTCGCTTGCGAATTTCCTACTTGGAATTATCACAGCTGGACATCTAGTCCTGATTTTGTGAGCCACGACTGGACTGAGTAGCTTCAAAGTTACTGTAGCGTTTGTAAAGATCGGCACCCTGAAAATGCTCTAGATGAAATCCTGACGTGTAAAATGCCGCTCTTCTGTCCTATAGCATAATGCAGGCAATCTCTAAATAACTACAGAATGAATTGTCGCGGGCGTGTGTGTGAGAATGAGCGCTTTCATGCTGCACTTGGCGTGTTCCCGTGAAAGTAGTCTAAGTTCTCTGGTTCAGCTCTTCTGTCAGAACTGACACTTTGAGCAGTAAATGGGATAGTGGTAGCTTTCATTTCACTTTGCTTCTGAAAGAGGAGTTGGCAAAAAGCAGTGGTGTACCGGACCTGATTTCAAATTTTCATATATTCTTAGAATTAAATCAGCTATTGATCATTGCTTCTTACAAAGAAGCCAACAGAACTGGCAGGTCAATGATTATGTTCATCAACTCTATCTGGATTTTCTAAGTGCTAAGCAGTGTGGAACGTCACAGAATGCATTTGAATGAATAAGGAATAGGGTGCTGATGGCACTGCTCTCGTCATGAAATCCTAAGTCAGATCATCAAGAAATATTTTCACTTCATGTTTTCTGTTCTGTAGACCACCCCTATGAGTAGAGTTTCACTTTTCTCTTTGTCTTTGAAGTTAATTCAGTCAAGGTCTCCAACCTTACTGACTGTCATAAACACTATAACACACCTCTGTGGGTTTACCCTGAGAGTGGACAGTGTTACAGTCTTCCTGTCTGGTCTCTTCTCCCGCTTCCTGGGCCTCTGTCACTGCTCAGTTGAACCACGTGGCTCTAGAAGGGGCTGGGCTGAAGGATGTCACATGATGGAATGCAGCCAATAAGAACAGTGATTGATCATGTTCCCAAAGCATTGCCAATTTACCTTGGGTTCTGGGAGGGAAACAGTGGTAACTGGAAATTCAAGAATTAGTTAGAAATTCAGGTTGAATAAACACAATGATTATCAAGTAAGGTCACCTCCATTGGGTTTTAAGATGGGCTGGCTTTAGTCCGTGTCTCTGGAGGTTGGCATCGATGAGAGAGGAAAGCTAAGGGTCAGGTGGAAAGGACAAAGAGGAGGTGGAAGAAAAGTTACAAGGACACCTGTGGTCAGGAGTAGGGACAGGGTAGGGGCTGGAGGAGATATGAACTGAGAGATTCTGAAAGAGAATTCATTCTAAAGCTCTTTCACTTAGGCGTGGGGTTACAGAGAGAGGAACTGGAGGGCTCCACACAGAAAGGTCAGGAAGTGGAAGGGCCAGCTGCCTGGCTGGATTGGTTTGCCCTGTGTGTAGGTGATAGGTTGGTTGCACTGTATCCCATAAAAGTGTACAGTATTGCATGTTAAGAATTCATAAAAATTTGCTTTAAAAAAGAGTGGACTCAAAGTTGCCTTTTATCATTTCTATTAATTAATGGAAATAGTCCTTAAAATTCCATTGCTAGCTGTATTTTTAATTTCAGTCATTTATTAGGTATAGAGTGTGTGTGTGTGTGTGTGTGTGTGTATGTGTTCTTGATTTCTGGTTTATTCCCCAAATGCCCACAACAGTCAAGACTTGGCCTGGCCAAAGCCAGGAGCGAGGAACTCAATCCAAGTCCCCCATGTGGGTAGCAGGAATCCAAGTACTTGAGCTGTCATCACTGCTTTCTGGGGTCTGCATTAACAGGAATCTGGTATCAGAAGCTGTAAAAAGAAATTGAACTCAGGTACTCCATTGTGGAATGTGAATGTAACACATACCTCTAACTATTATTTTTTAATTTTTTTTCTGACTTCAGGAGAAATGCATCTAATATACAAATATGAATTGGTAACTTCCATTTGACAGTTATTTTAAAATTGCAAGTTCTTTTCAATTATTTTATCTAACTTAGAGTCTTTATGGCAGTTCATAAGGATTTACCAAGTATATGACTTCATCTTGGGTTTCATAAAACTATAACGTTTATTTTTTAAAAAAGATAAGATCTCAACTATAGACAGTATATCAATGATTTATCAAAAAAGGGTTTATCAGAAATAATGCCCTGGGTGGATTCCATATAAGCATTCCAGCATTTCAGACTTAAATACACAGGTTCTGCTGCTAGTTGTGTGTCCATGTAATGTTATGTAGCACCTTCGCTGGAAATTTAATTCTGCGATAATTTAACCTACTATAGTCAATGATTTCTAACACTCTGTTTTTTTCCAGGAGAACTTTTGCTCGTGCCCATTGTTTAATCATCAATGAAAGGAAAGAGACAAAAGGTACTAAGTGAGTTAACAGGATTTTCTGCGAGCCTTTAAATGAGCTAACTCAGAATTCAGAGTGACATGAATGTAGGAAAAAAATCCAACAAAGTCTAGTGAGATTAAACTGACAGTGCTATTCGATGGAATAGGAGTAGGTATTTGCTTTAAAAACCAGCTTGGGGGTTGCCTGATGCAGTGGAAAGAACATAGTTTGTAAGTTAGACACATGGGTGCAGATCCCACCTTCTCTTCTGCTTGGCAAAATACTGAACTGATCTGAACCTCTGAACTCTGTGCTGTGAATTGCAAATAACACACTAACCTTAGGTGTTTTTTCTGAGGACAAACGGTAATGCATACAGTGTGTCCAGAATGTAGCAGGTGCTAGATGAGTAGTAGGCATTGTTGAGGTTTTCTGAATGCTAAAGCTCTTGCTGGCATTTCCTGATGGTATCTGATGAGGGAGACCCTTGCTGCTCTCCCATGTGGTCAGCACAGCAGGGAGAGGGATCCATTCAAAATCTAAGTCAGAGCACACAGCTCACAACCAGAGGCTCCATTTCACTCAGAGGAGCCGAAGTTGCAGCTATGACCTGCAGAGCACTGTGCGATCTTGTCTGCTGTTTGCTCTCTAACTCGTCTACTTCTCCTCTAACATATACAGATTTCCAATAGAAAGATACTTTCAAAACTTGCGTAGAGTGCATTTCATTGAACAATGTCTCTGACTGTGAGACCTTGATAATTTCATTAACTTGTCACTTGAGTTACATTTAACTTAATATTTGAAGTTAGCATTCTTTTTTTTTTTTTGATGTATTTATTTGTGACCAGCACTGTGGCATCATAGGTTAATCCTCCACTTGTGGTGCTAATGTCCCTAATGGATGCCAGTTTGATTCCCAGCTGCTCCACTTCCAATCTAACTCTCTGCTGATGGCCCTCGGAAAGCAGTAGAAGGTGGCCCAAGTTCTTAGGCCCCTGTGCCTGTGTGGGAGACCCAGAAGAAGCTCCTGGCTTCATATTAGCCCAGCTCTGGCCATTGCTGCCATTTGCAGAGTAAACTAGTGGATGCAAGATCTCTGTATCTCCCTCTGTCTGTAACTCTGACTCAGAAATAAATAAATAAATCTTAAAAAAAAAAGATTTGTTTTAAAGGCAGAGTACAGGGAGGAGGAGGAGGAAGAGGGAGGGAGGGTGGGGGACCAAGAGAGGGAGAGAGAAAGAAGCTTCCATCTGTTGGTTCACTCCCCAAATGGCTACAACATCCAGGGCTGAGTCAAGCTGAAGCCAAGGAGCCAGAAGCTTCATCCAGGCCTCCCGTGTGGGTGCAGGGGCCCAAAGACTTGGGCCATCTTCCACTGCCTTCCCAGGCACATTAGTAGGCAGCTGCATCAAAAGTGGAGCAGCTGGATCTTGAACCAGCACCCATACAGGATGCCAGGATTGCAAGTGGAGGCATACATGATGCCAGCCCCAAGGTTAGCATTCTTCAGAGAAAGTGTGACCATGTTGGTCCCTGTGTATTACTGTTTACTGCAGTTAATGAAATATTTCAGTACGTGTTTCTCAGTAAGTGAACATAGGCAAAGACTTGCTGTTGCACCATTTTGTGTTCTCAGCCATTGGTTTATGTTTTCTCCTCCTCTTTCTTGCACATCACAATTTTGCTTCTTTGACATCACTTTAGTCAGACTTCATTTTTTTTTTTTTTTGACAGGCAGAGTGGACAGTGAGAGAGAGAGACAGAGAGAAAGGTCTTCCTTTGCCGTTGGTTCACCCTCCAATGGCCACCACGGCCGGTGCGCCGCGCTGATCCGATGGAAGGAGCCAGGTACTTCTCCTGGTCTCCCATGGGGTGCAGGGCCCAAGGACTTGGGCCATCCTCCACTGCACTCCCTGGCCACAGCAGAGAGCTGGCCTGGAAGAGGGGCAACCGGGACAGAATCCGGCGCCCTGACTGGGACTAGAACCCGGTGTGCCGGCGCCGCAAGGCGGAGGATTAGCCTAGTGAGCAGCGGCGCCAGCCCAGACTTCATTTTGAAATATCAGTTTAGGTAGATATTAGTTGTATATTTTCCCAAGTAAAATAAATGACTTGCTTTTAAAAAAAAAGCTATGGAAAAGACAACCTTACAGATGGTATAGGTCTTTATAAGAAACTACCAAGTTGCTTTGGCATGAAGTTTTCTGCTTCCTCATTGTGAAATTAAGGGGGATTAATTTTTGCTATCATTTCTATTTAAGGCCATACTTTCATGAAAGAGAGTTTAATAACAAGATGATCTTTCTTTCCATTTTCTCTCTCTTCCAGAGTAAACCACATAAGAAGAAATGAGCCTTTCATTTTGTGGTAATAACATTTCTTCGTATAATATCTACGATGGTGTATTACAAAATCCCTGCTTTGTGGATGCCCTCAACCTGGTCCCACATGTCTTCCTGTTGTTTATCACTTTTCCAATATTATTTATTGGTAAGTAATCTAATGTCTTATATTTTATTACTTACTATTTATACGTCTTATTAGTGGCTGAGACTTAAAACAATGTTAATTCCTCCAACATGAAAGCTAATGTGTAAGAAATGAGTAAGCGAGTATTTTGTGTTTTCCAATTATGTATTTCTGGCATGTGATGTTCTGTAGGTACAGCAGTGGTTACGTGCTTCTGAGAGAATGGCCCTTGGGTAGCAACAGTAGTTTTTGTTTGTTTTAAAGAGGGAGAAAGACAATTCCATGAGATAGAGTATTTGCTTGGACTCAGTAGAGGGAGTAGAAAGTGGGTGAAGCAGAACACTTGGCTGCAGGGGCTGGTACAGTGGGCAGATGTCTCAAAGTCAAGAGGAGGGGCTGCACCGTGTGGGAAGCCTATATTTGCAGGCAAAAGATCAAACTACTTTGACCATTAATCCCCTAGAGAAATAACTTCTTGGGGCTCGTGGGGCTTACATAGAGAGTGACACCATTGGGCACTGGAAAGATGTGGAGCATGCAAGTTAAAGTAGGCATGATGGGCTGTGCTTTTGCTAGAAGGAATCCCCCTGCAAACATCTGGAAAGGGGTTAGTAATACAGTATCTTCTGTTACCTGACAGTTTACTGTATCCAATTTTTTAGGGCAATTGTGTAAAATTTCCCTTCCATAAAACAAAGAACCCTTAACTTAAAAATTACAGAATGTTTTTGATTTGTGAAATTGTGAAGATTGATATAATAAATGTGTATTAAACCTTTCTTGCATCTAAGACAATATAATAGTAAGAATAAAAAGGGATTCTGTATAATTTCCTAGTCTTGTTACTGGCCCCACATTCTACATTAGAATCCAGGAGGGAACCACTATTTTGAATTATTTGGTGTTTAATATTCTGTGCATGATTTTGTCCATAAAAATCAGAAAACTAATATATATAAACAAGCTATATAATGAATATTTTGGCCATAATTTAAATATTGAGAAAAATTTATATGTTTTAATTTATCTATTTAACAAATTTAATTGAGTGAGGGTGGTATCATGTGTTACCATATCCTACCAGAGATGAAAGGATTTGGTAATGCTTAGTGTATAGTAATTTATGTTAAACAAAAGTATAGACACTAAAGATGTGAGGACCAGAATGACCATTTGTAGAAACACTAGTTGTTATTTATGTCATTATTTTTAAGGCATTGAGAATATCCTTTGGCCAAAACTGACTGTTTTAAAGCCTTTAATTTTACAATCAATAATTCATTTTTAACTGAAATTTTCAGTGAATCACTCCTTTTTGACATCTGATCAGCTTCCTGAGAGTTAAGTCGTTCCTTTCTGGGGTCCCTGGCATCAAGGGTATTTGAATAGAGTGGAACTGGAGTGAACACTGCTGAGGGAGATAGACTATTTGCCCACTATTCCTGGACAATGTTGGCTCCTTGAGTTAGGAGAGATCAGAAGTAAATCTCAAGGAAGTGTTAGGTACTAGGAAAACTACAAAGTTACAAAAAAAAAACTTGGTCTTTGTATAGTATAAATTCTGGTAGCTGTATTCAATGTAGGGGACCTTCCAATGATGAAATACATTTGGAAACAACTAGGACCTGAATCGGCTTTCTTTTCAAGGAATGCTTCAGGGTGTTCTCTTCTGTCCATATGGAAATTCTTTGTGGCACTATTTCAAACACTAACCATCATTCATTCTTGAAGCATGCAGAGGCTTCTTTAAAGTAGAAAAAAAAGGGGGGGAAAAAAGTGAGTTCCTTTCCTAACACACCATATACAAGTTGGTGTTAACCCTACCTGCAGTTTTGAAAGGAAAACACTAAAAAGTATCCTGCATTGTTGCTACAGTGATACCCTAAAGATGAACCTAAAATGTACTCTCTCCTTTTCAAAGATTTATTTATTTGTTTGAAGGCAGAATTACACAGAGACACCGCAGCTGCTAGTTCACTCCACAAATGGCTTTAACAGCTGAAACCAGGAGCCTGGAACTTCCTCTGGGTCTCCCATATGGGTGGCAGGGGCCCAGGCACTTGGACCATCTTGGGCTGTCCTCCCAGGCACATTAGCATGGAGCTGGATTGGATGTGAAGCAGCCCGGGCTAGAACTGGTGTTGTATGCAATGCCAGTTTGCTTGTGGCAGCTTACCTTACTGAGCTATGATGCTGTCCCCCCGCCCCCCGCAATGTTCCTGATCAAGTTCAGAACTCATATCACTGAACAAAACTTGAGCTTGCTTTGAGAAAGATGGCAGTTCCTCTTGCTGACTGGTGCTGGCCCAGTCATAGGCAAGCATTTTTGTCCTAGGATACACGGATGACTCAATGTGGATGCACTGATGAGTTCTGTGTTTCATTTTGAAAAATTTAAGACACCAAATTTCTTTTGTCATTATAATTATTAACATTTCCTTTTGAGTGAATTGGAAGGCTATCAGTATGAGCTTCTGATAATGTGGGATAAAACCATGTGGTCCACAGAAGCATGATAAATGTTTAAGTTATGGGAGATGCTAATCACTCTGATTTGATCATTATGCATTGTATACTTGCATGAAATTATCACACTATACTCCCAAAATATGCACAATTATTATATATCATTAAAAATAATGAATAGACTTAATACTGTGTTGGGAAACAAAGCAGAAAAAATGTATATATTTTCACTCAGAGTGGGTGTTATTTCTGAACAACGCAACAAATACTGTTGTTAGCCTGGGGAATTTTGTAAAAAATAATTGCAATTGCTATTTTAAAAATATAATGAAAATAGACCAGAATCTCTGTTGCTACCATAGAACACACTAAGATTTCAGAAACCCCAGGAAAGCTTATCATAGTGTAAATTATTTCCATCATGAGAAAATTGTCCCTTTGTTTCTCTCCTTTTGACTTTGACTTTTTTTTTTTTCCAGGGTGGGGAAGCCAAAGTTCAAAAGTCCAAATTCATCACAACACATGGCTTCATTTTCCTGGACATAACCTGAGATGGATTCTTACTTTTGCGCTCCTGTTTGTGCACGTCTGTGAGATAGCCGAAGGCATTGTTTCAGATTCGTAAGTGGCTTGGCCTGCATGGTGTCCTTAAAGTGGACCAGTGGGTACATTATTACGGACAGTAGCCGAGAGTACACAAGATCAGGTGTAACTTCTGAAGCATAACTCATTAGAAATAACAATTATTACTCATTTTACCTGATAATCATGTGTTTTGTTGATCTTTTTGTGTTGCTCCATAATTTCTCTGATTACACAGGTTTGGATTCCTGGGACTTGTACTCATTTAAGTTACCTTATATTTCTGTGTTCCCTGTTCCAAGGAACCCTTGCAGGACATTATTCCTCTCTTTAAAAACTTTGATGTTTATTGCAGCTTTGAAAAGTGATTAAATAGAAAAATTATCAGTGTTGATGTATAGGTCTAATACGTGTAGCTCTATGTTAACATATTAATTAGTTTTCAGTTGATTTTTGTTTATTTATAAATGCTTCCATGTATTTCAAAAATGAGCAAAAGCAAATGAAATAGGCTTTAGGGAAGTTTGGGTTCTTGTAAGAATATATTCACAAATTGAGATAAGACATGAAATGATTTTAAAATGAGGATTCTTTATGAAATTCATGTTTTTGAAGGAATCTTGTTATCAAAGAAGAAAGTTTGTATTGGACAGTCAGAGTACAATGAATTATATTTATGAACTTAAACTTTATCTGGGGGTAATTCTTTATCCAACAGTAAGAGAAAATTATGTAGTGAGTAACTTTTTATCATGAAATTATGCTAAATGATACACCTTTCATTGAAGAACTTACATGAAAAGGCCTTAAAAATTTTATGAATTTTTAAAAAATTTTGCTCTTATCTCATAGAACCTCCCTGACATCTGTTTATGTTTTTCTGTTGCAATTAACAAGGAATGAAACTTGTAAGCTACTGTCATGGAGCCAACTATTTTGTAATGTTCTACAGCAGTTCCTTGCCGATATGGACATGTCTTAATTTCTGATAAAAAGAAAAATCAGAATCATTAATATGTGTTATCCCTCCACGTATTTAGAAACTTAATTGGCTGTTATCTTATTGATAACTGTTTAAAACCTTTTGGTGTATTTGCATTAACATAGCCAATTCTAGTCTTAATTAATTTACTTCCCTTCACATACAGGCTGACTGTATACTCGCATGCTTCTGTGTGTATGTGGGAAGTGGAAGTTAGATCAGTCCAATAGTTCTCAACAACTTGACATTCTGACATCGCGTGAGCAAGAAGGACTGTTTCCGTCCTCGTGGTTGATGGGTAGATTGAGTCAGACAGAAAACATGCTCTGAACTAACAATGATGTGCTAATGGCAAAGGCTTGTTTTATAACAGTAGTGATATAAGGGGCCCATCCTAAAAACAGATAGGCAAAAATATAACCCTGAACTTGTGCTGTTCCACTTTTCAGCTACAAGCTTCTTCATCTTATTCTTTTTTATCTGAGATTCTCAAAAGTCATCTTTCAGTTGCTTCTAAACCAAATATTTAGTGTTTCTCTCTCTCTCTGGAAATTGCTCCTACAAGAAACACTTTGAACATCAGTTATTAGGATACTTTTTTTTTTGGACAGGCAGAGTTAGAGACAGAGAGAAAAGTCTTCCTTTTCCGTTGGTTCACTCCCCAAATGGCCGCTATGGCCAGTGCGCTGTGCCAATCCGAAGCCAGGAGCCAGGTGCTTCCTCCTGGTCTCCCACGCGGGTGCAGGGGCTCAAGCACCTGGCCATTCTCCACTGCCTTCCCGGGCCACAGCAGCGAGCTGGACTGGAAGAGGAGCAACGGGGACAGAATCCGGTACCCCAACCAGGACTAGAACCCGGGGTGCTGGTGCACAGGCAGAGGATTAGCCTAGTGAGCCGCAGTGCCAGCCTAAACACTTTGAATTTTAAGGATACCTTAATGGACACCTTTTTGTCTTTGTCATAATGACCCAGGTTGTCATTCCTCCCTTCTTGCCTTTTTTTTTTTTCTTTGAATATTTATTTGAAAGTCAGAGTTGGAGGTGGGTTCTATTTTTCCATCTACTAGTTCACTCTCCCAGATGGCTGTAATGGCTGGGGCTGGGTCAGGCTGGAGCCAGGATCTTAATCCAGGTCTCTCACTTGGACACAAGGGACCAAACACTTGGGCCATCCTCTGCTGCCCTTCTAAGGCCATTAGCAGGAGCTGGATTGGAAGTGGTGTAGCCACCATTGCAGACAGTGGCTTTACCTGCTAGGCCATAGCTGTAGCCCCCCTTATTTCTTACAGCAAGATCTTTATGAACTACTCTTGACTGAAAATATAATAAATGCTCATTAAAATTAGTGAAACAATGCAAGGTGTTCCTAATTGACTATTTGATTTGTTTTTTAGCAACACAGCATTTAAAGCTATTTTTTTTCTTTTTGGAACATCTTGGTCTTCAACTGTTTTATGTAAGCAGGATTCTCCTTTGTATTTATTAGCCATTTGTGACTCCAGCTTTAAGATAGGAATCACTTTCAGCTTGCTCTATGGCTTAAGTTAATTATTATTAGAGCATTCAGTTTGCAAAGTGATTACTTTGAATAATTTATTATATTTAATATATATTAGAATATTTCATAAACATACCCACACACTTTGTAGGTAGCAAAATTTGAGTTTGTTGATTACATTATCAAAGTCTTATGTGTTGATTTTTTCCATTCCTTTTAATATATTCTAAAAGCAGTGTATTAAAATCTGTACTGTGTTTTTGTTTGGATTGTTTCATCTTCTGTTTAGTAAATTATTTTTTCACCTAAGTGATGTAATGCTCTTGAATTTCCTTTCTAGCCTCTGATTAAAGATTTTCTGCTATAATAGGATTTGTTTTAAAAAGTTCATGGAGGAGTGGGTGTTCAGCCTGGTAGTTAACATTGCACATCTTATACTGGAGTACCATAGTTCAGTTCCCGTCTCCCACTCCAGCCTCCAGTTTTCTGTTAATGCAGACCCTGGGAGGCAGCAGTGATAGCTCAAGTAATTGAGTTCCTGGTATCAATGTGGGGGAGGCCTGCATTGGATTCCTGGCTCCCAGCTTCAGCCTGGCCCAGCTGTAACCACTGTGAACAAAGAGCTCTCTCTCCATCCCCCGTATCCAAAATAAAAATGTAAATAAGTTATTTTAAAGTTTGTGGAAAATGTTATTTACATGATAAGTTTATTTTGATATAAAATTTTTCAAAATCTACACATAATTTTCTGATACTTTCTCCATAAACTTTTTGAAGACCCCTTGTATGTATGTGTTCCTACCAAGCCATTGAGGCCTGCCAATCATACTCTAAAAAGAGCATAACCTAAGGAAATATTAAGGTTGAGTGATCATTCAAAATATGTGCAGTTGGCTGGCACCACAGCTCAATAGGCTAATCCTGCGCCTGCGGCGCCGGCACACCGGGTTCTAGTCCTGGTCGGGGTGCCAGATTCTGTCCCGGTTGCCCCTCTTCCAGGCCAGCTCTCTGCTGTGGCCAGGGAGTGCAGTGGAGGATGGCCCAAGTGCTTGGGCCCTGCACCCCATGGGAGACCAGGAGAAGCACCTGGCTCTTGGCTTCAGATCAGTGCAGCGCCGGCCTCAGCGCCCATTGGAGGGTGAACCAATGGCAAAAAAGGAAGACCTTTCTCTCTGTCTCTCTCTCACTGTCCACTCTGCCTGTCAAAAGAAAAAAAAATGTGCAATGTTGCAAATGAAGAAGTAACAAAGAAGTCTTAATAAAAATATAAGCCTGGTTAAAAGCTATGTGTAATCCCTAATAAAGAATGACAGAATGAATAAGATCTTAAAATAGATGCTGTTATCTTAATTCTTTGTTTCTGCTTTGTTTAGTGATATTTTGTCATTGCTTTCTAACTCATTGATTTAATTATGATGATGTTTTTTAGGACTGATTTATTTGAAAGGCAGAGTTAGAGAGGGAACAACAGAGAGAGAGAGAGAGAGAGAGAGAGAGAGAGAGAGATCTTCCATCCTCTGGTTCACACAATAAATGGCCACAATGGGCAGGCCTGGGTCAGGCTGAAGCCAGGAGCCAGGAGCTTCATCTGGATCTCCCATGTGAGTGCAGTGGTCCAAAGACCTAGGCCATCTTCTGTTGCTTTCCAAGGCACATTAGCAGGGAGCTGGATGGAAAGTGGAGCAGTAGGAACTTGAACTGGGTCCCCTACGTGATGCCAGTGTCACAGGTGGTGGCTTAACTCTTAGGCCACAACACTAGCCCCATGATGATTTATTAGTCTATTTAAGTTTATAAATTTGCTTATGAGTATGATTGTGATCACATTTTAGAAGCTTGTGTAGGGAGTATGCTCATTTTTGAATTTCATAAATATTTGGTAAGTGATTTTAAATTTTTTAATTAGATAATTCGAGAGTATTAGAACCATACCCTAATTTACTTTTTAAAATTTACTTATTTTCATTGCATTTAATAGGTGGGGGTAGAAGGAGAGATGCATCCCCCATCTGCTGGTCTGTTCCCCAAATGCCCACAACAGCATGAGCAGGGCCAGGTCAAAGCCAGGAGGCCGGAACTCCATCTGGGTCTCCCTGAGTCGGTGACAGGAACTTGTGCTATCACTTGCTGCCTCCCAGGGTGCACATTAGCGGGAAGATGATTTGGCAGTATTGGGCCGGGACTTGAATCAACAACTGTGTCTAGGATCCTGGCATGCCACGTGACCAAGCACATGGATCACGTTTCCTAATTACTGATGAAGCACTGTGTTCTACCTTTTTTTGACTCTTCTGAGCTATTTCGGGGAAGTGGTGGGTGGTGTTTTATCATAGTAGTTTGATATTTTCATTGTCGTGTCTTTATGGAGGATTGCAAATGATATCACTGATCATATTGTAAATGTCTGCAGTTAACTCTTAGTCTCCTTTGCATGGTTTTTGACACTTTGACAAATAGTAATAACTGAAACTTTTATGCTTCCCCTCAATCTGCTCATCCTGTTAGAAATACTGTCTGATCACACAGCTATTTACCATTTTATTGTCTACCTCTCCTTTGTTATCACCTTTATATACCAACACAGTTAAAGTCCTGTCCATCTTAAGAAAAAAATGTATTTTTTCCTCTGGGTTACTGCTGCCAAAACTTAGGTCAGGCCTTCAAAATCTGTCACCTGACTTATAACCAGAGTTTCCTAATTTCTTTCTCTCCTTCTATTTCTCCCCTCTTCCCCCTCCACAAATCCACACATTACTTAACTCTATCATCCCCATGAGTACCAGTACCATCTCTTTAAAACACAGACCATCCATATCCCTTACTGGTTAAAGTATTCTAATGTTTTGCAAGGTGAGAATCCAACCCCTTGCCTTGGCATAGAAAGCCTTTTATAATATTTCCCATATCAATCCATTTTCTGCTACTGTAACAAGTCCCTGAGGCTAGATAACCTAGAGAGAAAAGAGGTTTACTTTCATAGTTCTGGTTCAAGTACATCGTGCTGGCATTGGCATGGCTTGGTGTGTTGTTTTGTTGTTGCATCCCGGAACCTAACACAGGGTCTGGATGAGTAGATACAAATGCATGGAATGAATGCAATGGAGAAGTATGGAGTGGGTACTCAGCCTAGCAGTTAAGATGTCTGCCTTCTACATTGGAGTACCTGGGTGTGATTCCCAAGGCTTCCTCCTGGTTCCAGGGAGGCAGCAGTGATGGCTGGAGTAGTTGGCTACCTGCCACCATCATGATAACCTATATTGTGTCTGGCTCTCAGCTGCCACTCTAGCCCAGCCCCAGCCATCATGGACCTTTGGAGAGTAAACCAGTGAACGGGAGCTTTCTCTTTTCTGGCTCTCTTTCTGTCCGATAAATTTTGAAAAATAAAAAAAATTGAGGGGATAGTGCTGTGGCATAGCAGGTAAAGCTGCTCTTTGCAGCGCTGGTATCCTACATGAGCACTGGTTGAGACCAGCTGTCAGATCCAGCTCTCTGCTAATGTGCCTGGGAAAGCAACTGAAGATAGCCCAAGTCCTTAGGCCTCTGCACCCAAGTGGGAGACCTGGAAGAAGCTCCTGGCTCCTGGCTTTGGATCAGTGCAATTCCAACTAATGAAGCCATTTGAGGAGTGAATCAGCTGATGGAAGACCTCTGTCTGTCTCTCTGTGTCTCTGCCTCTCCCTCTCTGTATCTATGCCTTTCAAATAAATAAATTTTCAAAAAAATCAAGTATAAAAAAATCAAAAAAATTTGAGAAAACACTGAAGGCCATAAAAATCTAGGAAAACTGTCAAAGGAATAAACATTCTTTACACGTGAGTTTAAATTCAGATTTACCTACCTTCCCTTGCTTTAATTATTAAATTATTCAGCATTTTGCTCTGCTAAAATAATGATATTTCATTTCTATAATGATAGCTATGTATTTTTGTCATAAGCATTTTAAGATATTGTTCAGCCGTGTTTATCCAGGCCTCTGTGTTTGGATAAATCCATTTAATCAGAATTCCATCACCCAATCAATTCTTCCCTTACATATTGTCTTAGCGAACTATTGCCTGCTATGTTTTGAATGTCTTACCGCTGAGAGAGTTTTAATAAACACAATGAAAACCAAATGAGAAATGGGGAACCATCACCTTTGCACACTGCCCTTGTCTTGCTTTTCCAGACGGAGGGAGTCCAGGCATCTGCACCTCTTCATGCCTGCCGTGATGGGATTTGTTGCTACGACAACATCGATAGTCTATTACCATAATATTGAAACGTCCAACTTTCCCAAGTTACTTTTAGGTAAGTATGATTAATTTTTTTTTAAAAAGACTATTCTATTTTCTTTTGCTGAAGAGAGAGTTCTGCCAGAGTGGGTAGAGAGTGGAAAGCACAGGAGAATTAAAAGAACTGACTTTTCTACAGTCGCCTCTTACAGGTGGAGTCAAAGATAAGCTGAGGTCTAGGCTGTGAAAATTCCACTGCCCCAGGACATCTGCTGTCAGATAAATGACCCTCGTGAGGTATCTCGAGATATCGGAGTGTGGCGGGAAGCAGATGGAGGGAGTGTGTTGACTGGGGGCTCCCAGATGTATACCCAAGTGAAGGCCAGTGTTGTCGCAGGAGCCTCCCTTGCCTCCCCGTCCAGAGGAATTGGAGGTTAGGTGTTCCTAACCTCACTTTTGCCTTCGGTTAGAATAACATCACTCATCTGAGCAGTTATGTTCAGTAACTTGGCCAGTCCTTGTTTCCTGGGTGTACACTTCCCTCATGAGAGCTGCAGTTACAGTGTCAGACATGGATCAGGGTGGCCTTCGAGGGCACGTGAACCTGCTAAAATTCTAGGCAGAATGACGTGTTTGCGTGAATGGCTGCTTTCAACTTTCTAAGGTTCAGCTTTCATTTGCTGGGTTTCTTAAAAATTTTATTTATTTTCATGTATTTCAAGGACAGACCAAGATAGAGTCAGCCAGAGATCATTGATCTGTTGTTGGTTTGTTCCCCAAATGCCCACAACTACTGAGACGGGCCAGACTAGAGCCAGGAGCCCAGAATTCAGTGTGGGTCTCCCACCAGGAAGCTGGACTTGGGAGTGGAGCCAGGACTCCAGGCCTGGGCCTTCTGATCTGGGATGCAGGTGACCTAAACAGCATCTTCCTGTGTGAAACACCTGCCTTTACTTGATTGCTTCGTGATAGAAATGAAATGGACTACTGATGAAAATTAGGAAGTAATCAAAGCATACAAGCAGGATTTTGTTTATTTGTGTACAGGACATTGAAATTTAAAGTGAGTGCCATATTATATGATTAGAGAAAAGCAATCTAATAAAACATATATTAATTTGAAAGACATAGTGAAATCTGAATTATTCTAAGAGAAAAATCTCCAGTACAAAGTGGCAGGCAGACATCATCATACAAATCAAAATCTGTCAGAAAGACTGAAAATTTCCAAGTAGTGACTGCCAAAAAGAAATGTATTGGATTTAATAAGGTAGATATACATTCCTGAAAAATTGATAATTTATGTAATTAGAAAGGACATTCTCATCTTAATTTCAAACTTAGGTTTTGGCTGTCGTTGTTATGTAGATACAAGACAGAGTGCAAAATTTGATCATTTGGCTAGAAGGATTTATAAAGATGAAAGATAGTCTAAGTTTTTGGAGGGAAAAATTGGCTCTGAAAAAGTTACTCGTGTTTTGAGATCACAAGCTAGTAAGTTTGTCCCAATGTTTTATTATGAAAATGACCAAATGCACAATTGTGTTAATATCCTTTCCCTCTTGTTTTTATTTTTATTTTTTAAAAAACTATTTATTTGAAAGGCAGAGTTACAGGGAGGCAAAGGCAGAGAGAGAGACAAAGTCTTCCATCTGCTGGTTCACTTCCCAAATGGCCAGAATTGCCAGAGCTTAGCTGATCCGAAGCCAGGAGTCTGGGGCTTCTTTTTGGGTCTCCCAAGCAGGTCAGGGGTCCAAGCACCTGGGCCATCATCTTCTGCTTTCCCAGGCCATTAGAGAGCTGGATCAGAAGTGGAGCATCCAGGACAAGAACCAGCGTCCAAATGGGATGCTGGCACTGCAAGTGTCGGCTTTACCTGCTACCACCACAGCACCGGCCCCCTTCCTTTTCTTTTCTAAAAAGATTTATTTATTTACTTATTTGAAAAGCAGTGTTACAGAGAGAAAACTGTTCACTGGCCCACTTCCTAAATGATTGCAATGGCCAGGGCTGGACCCGGCCAAAGCCAGGAGCCAGGTACCTCCTCTGGTGCTCTCACAAGGGTGGTAGAGGCCCAAGGACTTAGGCCATCTCCGCTGCCCTCCCAGGTGCGTTAGCAGGGCACTGGATTGGAAGTAGAGAAGCCAGGATTTGAACCGGTGCCCATGTGGGATGCTGGCTCTGCAGGTGGTGGTTTAACCCTACATGCCACAGTGCCAACCCTTCCTTTCCATCTTCGAGGCATCCATCAATCCATATTAGTTTTGCTGCATTTCAAATTAGGTTTCTTTACCTGAATAATTCTTCATGCATACTATTCACTACAGTTAAAAATTTTTGTGAGATTTACACACTTAAAGTACAGAAATCTCAATTTGTTAAGTCCATTACACCTGTAGAACTCTGTCACAACATTGCCATTGTCCCCACAAGTTTTCCTAGACTCCTTCCCAGTCAGTCTCCACTTTCAACTCCTGTTTGCATCCATCACTGATTAGGTTTGCGAGTTCTAGAACTTTGTATAAATTGACTCAAAAGTACACACTGTTTAAAGGAAGACTTTTTTCTCTCAGATTAATCTTTGGAGGTTCATTCATAATGTAGCATCAATTAGTATTTTGTTGTCATCATTGTTAGATGATATTCCAGGGCACAAATATCTCACAGCTTTCCAGTCTCTTGTTTGATAGACACTTGCATTATTTCCAGATTTTGGCTACCATTAAAAAAAAAAGCTACTTGTATAAATATTCATATACAAATCTATTTGTAGATATATATATTTCTCTTAGTAAACACTTAGGATTGGAAATTCTAGGTCATGAATTAGATAGGTATAGTTTAAGTATTTGTAAGAAACCAACAGAGTTTGCCCCAAAATTACTGTGCCCTTTTGCATGCTCACTAACAATAGGAGGGAGATTCATTATTTCAGATATTCAGCAGTGTTTGATGATCTTGGTCTTTCTAATTTAGCCACACTGATGGGTGCATTCCAGTAACACCTTGCGGTTTTAATTTGTGTTTTCCTAATGACTAATGATGCTGAATACTTTTTGATGAGTTTATTGATCATTTGTCATCTTTATGGATTGGCTACTTGTTGTTTTTGTGAAGTGTTTATTCATATTTGTTGCCCATTTTTAATGGCATTTCATTTTCATTATTGAGCTTTAGGAATATTTTACACACTAGTATCCCATCAGATAAATATTTTCTTCCCAGTCTGGGGCATGCATGTCCAGTGGTTTAACAGGACCCTTTCATGATTTTTGACCTGTTTTAAACCAGTTGTGTATACAGTGCAAGGTAGATCACAATATTCTTCCCCCCTGGCCAAAAGGACGTCCTTGTGTTGGGCAGACTTTATATTTCCTATCAGATTGTTTTGATACTTCTGTAGAAAAATGAGATCAAATGACCATTTAAATGGGATCTATTTCCTGACCCTGTTTTCAGTTCCTTTGGTTTATACCACTACCATTCTGTCTTGATCACTATCTCTTTTGAAGATCCTTGAAGTCTTCTATTATAATTCATACATTTTCCCTTTATGTTATGGTTCTCAGTATAGAGGTCTCACATATCTTGTTAAAAAATTTTACCAATGCTTTATCCATTGCTATAGTAGATGGAGTTCTGTTTCAAATTTCATTTTTCTAGTTGTGTCCTTTTTTAAGTTCTTTGTAAATTGGTTTTTCTTTAAGGAAAATTTCCCATCCATTAGTTTTTCAGGATCACATCAAATGCTTGATAATTACTACAATTTGATTGTTTTGGTCACTATATAAAGCACAATTGATTTTGTATATTGATCTTGGATCTTACAAGCCTTGGGAATGTAGGTACTGCTTCTTTGCCTTGCTCTGTAGGGTTGTTGATTTCTCTATATAAACAGACATGTTATCTGCAAATAGAGACAGCTTTTTTCTTTTCAATCATTTTTATAGTACTTCTTTTCTTGCCATGTTGCCCTAGTTAGGACTTCTAGAAAAATGTCAAATAGGCTTTGTAAGAGCAAAATCCTTGCCCACTTCCGGATTTTAGGGGGAAATTATTAGTCTTTCATTATTAATTATATGGTAGCTAGGGATTTTTCATACTTGGTGAGTATTCCTTAGAACTATCTCAGGATATTTTTAAAAATCATGAATACATGTTGAATGTTAACAATTTTTCTGCATCTATTGAGGAAAATTTGTAGTTTGATAAATTGGAATAGTATGTCTGCTAGATTGTATTTGTTAAATCTCAGTTTATGTAGTGAAGGATATTGGTCTGTGATTTTTGTGTCATGTCTTTGTCAGGTTTTTTTTACATGTTGGATTATCCTAGTTTTATAAATGCTCTTTCTCTGTTTTCTCAAAGACTTTGTGCAGATTAGTTTTATTTCTTCCTTAAATGTTGAAAAGAATTTCACCAGTAAAGTAATTTTGGCATGAATTTATTTCTTTATTATATTATTTATTTGTTAGATTATTTATTTCTTTATTAGGTAGAGACTGTATTTCTTTTTAGTTCAGTTTTGGTAAGTTACAGTTTTCAAGCAATTTTCTATTTCACCTAAATTTATGAATATATTGTCATAAAGTTGTTTATGATATTGCCTGATTATCCTTTTAAAGGATGTAGGAAGTGGAAGATAGTTCCTCTTCCATTCCTGACATAGTAATTAATGTTCTTGATGTCTTCATAAATCCAGGTAGAGAGTTAATCATTTGTTGATATCTTTTTCAATCAAATTTAAGGCTCAACCTTGTTGACTTAATTGAGTTTATTCATTTTCTGTGTTACTGCTTTTTATTATCTCTCTGCTGTTTTCATCCTTTGTCTATTGAATTGTCTTTCTTTTCCTAGATTTTAAAGTGGAAATGAAGGTCATTGATTTTGGATCTTTTTTTTCCAGAAATACATATCCAAAACTATAGAGCTAGCCTCTGAATCTTTTTTGAGTTCAATTTTTTAATTTTTTTAAAAAAGGATTTATTTATTTGAAATATATAGGTCTCACACATGGGTGCAGGAGCCCAAGCCCTTGGTCATCTTCAACTGCTTTCCCAGGCACATTAGCAGGGA